CATAGTGCCTTTCTTGCATACGTAAGGGCAACAAATCGTCATGACAGCCGTCAGTGCAAGAGGTCTTGGGCGTGAAAACACTCGGTTTGCCCAGGTCTGACACGTGCTACCGGAATCCACTCCGGAACCGGCTTCGGAAACCGATCGCAAGGGACAGGAAGGAACAAGTTCTAAAGGAACTAGGGTTTTTCAAAACTGCATAAGCTGGGCATGAACCGCTCGACAGGGGCTCGAGCTTGTTGAAAAGACTGGTGCAAACCGCCCGAAAGGGATTAGCGCAATGGAGAAACGCAGCCAATCGCTCGAACAGAATACGAGTATTTAATTGAGAGCAAGGTGCAAACCACTCCAAACGCACTTAAGCGTTCGAGAAGCATCGGCAAGCCCCTCGAACGGAGCTATGGCATCTGAGGAACGGAGCTTGCCGCGCGAAGGTATTCGAACATTCGAGAAGGGGAGCAAGCAGCTGAAAAGGGACGATGGCATTTGAGAAGGAATCACTCGGAAGGAGTTGTAACATGTGAGTCACAACTACAAACCGTTCGCAAGGGACAAGAGCATCTGAGAACAACGAGCAAACCGCTTGAAACGGACTGGAGCATTTAAGCAAAAGGAGCCAACTGCCCGTTAGGGACTAGAGATTATTGAAAAATGGAGCCAGGCAATGTCCAACCGTGACGCGAGGATCGACTGTGCAGTGGTGCAGCTGCATTTCTGTAGGTTAGGTTCTCCGAGCCCAGCGGGCATGAGTTCAGGGGATCCAAACTCTACAATTTGCAGTCCTGTTAGGATTTTTTGCACAGTGGGCCTCTCTTGGCAACCATTGTCGCTGCAGATGATGCTGCACTAGCAGGGTGCCGCACAAAAAGCTGCAATTTTCGCAGTCGGCTTTACGCTCGAAGTTCCCAACGTCAGCTTTCCGAATGCGCAAGCACACAAGCCTTACAAGCCCCAAGTCGTGTTTAGCCAAGTACCGGGGCTTGCATTTTGAACGGCGGTAACGGTATCTTAAGAAGCGCAGCTTCCGCTTCTTGCAGAGTTCCTTCGCAAAGGAGCCAGGTTTTTGCTAGGGAAGTGTTGATCAATCCATTCTGGGCATGTCGCCTTCGTCTCAGGCGTTCCATCGTGGCCACCAGCACCTGCCCGACAGACAGCTCGCCTTGGTCCTGGTCTAGAGCTTTAATTTGAGCGGGGGATTTCTTGGATCTTTAGCTTTCACAAACTCTAACGTAGCTGCCCCTCAGCGATGCAGTGCCAGTTGTGGGCAGAGTCTAGTGAGTCTAGTACAGCCTCTTTACGATTTCCTCCAGGCGAGCAGTTGATTCACAAGTATCACAGTATACTGCAAATCTATTGCGAAGGACCTCCGGGTGCCGAAGTTTAAGGCTTGCGAGGCAGACCCATTCTTAGGACGAAATCGACCTGCCTCACATGTCTAGTTCCGGCAGCGCTGTGGAAGAGGTTTCTGGTGTGGGGAAAGGCACCAGGCTCCCGAAATTGCAAGCTCTTCCGACCGAAGGGAATGATTCACGAGTAATGGGCGCACCAACGCCTTAAACAGTCATGAATCTGTGGCCGGAGACGAAGCAGATCCTATATTGAAGTGAAGATGCAGGCGCAATCCAGGTTTCGCAGTAGGTTGGTTTGTGCTACACTGGGCTCCCAGGTCATGGAGAACTTGCGGCACTGCTGTCGTGTCACGACGCTTGTGTCTCAAAGGGTCCCGGCAGGTTTGGTGTTTTGGGAGCCACGCACATGCCTCCTGGTTTTCATGCCTCCCACGCTACGAGTGTCACATGAAGCTTCAGTCACCATGGCATTCATGACATGCAACATCCCAGAACCCCCATCACCATCCCCAAACCGGCGGGCCGAACAGGGCCCTAGCAACCCTACATTAAGTGTTACGAAGGAGCCCCGTCCGCCTAAGGAGGATCTTCCCGGTTCAAGGTGGCTCCTGCCCCCGTAAACAGGATTCCACCATCACTCCTCGGCTGCTGCCTTTCCGAGTTCCTTTTGTTGTTTTGGGGTCCCAGTCCCTGATTCTCCGAAGCTCTCGGTCTCAGGTCGATCTCGCTGGACCATCCCGAGTACAAGACGCGTTACCAGCTCTATGGGATGCTGCAAGGCAAAAGCCGGGGCCGCAACCTATCAAGGCTGCATGTGATGGACCAAGGGTCAGAGAGTTAGCTTCAGGAGTGTCATGTTCTCAGCCTCATTCTGCATGGGTAGGAGGTTGTCTGCTGTTCTTGATGTTGAAGTTCTGTCGTAGAAGGTGCTGAACAATTGGAACATGGCTTCGTTGTCGGAAAGCGTTAACCTCGTCGACTTCAGCGCTGTCCAGAGCTAGGTTGAAAGGAATCAGGCTTGAGATGGCGTATGACTCCTACAGAGAGTCTCCGAAAACGCTGGTCTCCCGTCCCCAGGCATGACCCCGATGCTGCCTGAGATGCCCGAGGGGGAAGAACCTCAGGACCTGATTCTCTGATTAATCACTGGTTTGGGTCGGATATGGTCGGATTCCAGGGGCAGCTGCACATGATTGACCTCTATGTTTCTCTGCCAAAGCTGTTGCTTCGAGTGGGACGGGGTGGTAGGATTGAATCCGCAAAGAATACAGAGTCAAACAACAAAGGTCCGTTGTTGGGCTTACGGTCGTTCCACTTCGCGATGCTATGCCATTGCAGTCTTCACAATGTAAACCTGGGTGTGGCCCAGGACGCTACAGGCTCAACTTTGATTCCGGGCTTTTTGAGTATTCTGAATCCTCACGTGCCGCAACAACTTAGTGATTCTTTGACTTTGGGGTTACTCCGTTTTTGGGTTACTGAAGCAATGATATTAGGATGTTGGAGCTTAGGATGTACTTGATTGAGAATGGCTACTTCGGAGACCCGAGTCCGGAGATGAACTCTCTTCACCAGTTACTTGTGGTGGCCTTCCGGGACTTCAAGACCTTCCAACGAGAACGGGGGCTCAAGTGTTCGCAACAAAAGTTTTGTTCCCAACTTTGTTCCTTGGGTCGCATCCATGACTGGTTTGTTGCAGGGTGGAGCATGGCACAACACAGCAGTATCTAAGTGCATCCGTTTTGTTGAAACACTGATGTCAGGTTTGGAAACCTGACACTAGCCACTAGCAGAATCGGAAGCACAAAGCCATTTGCATTTATAGCTCAGCGTGGCGGTGTCAAGTTTCATCGCAGGCTTTAGCTGTTGTTTGCAAAGGAGCCGACTGTAAAGCTCAGTACTTGGGGTTTTTCCATTCTCCAGAACACTTGTGGCAAGCAGGATGGTGCTTTGTGAGACGACCCAGCCGACCATGGTCGAAGACCTTTGAAAGGGAATTGTTGTTCTCAGTTTCTGGAATCTGCGAACTTCTAGATTACGGGAACTAGGATCGTCGCATCTTGACGCGGGGTCTCCGGCTCACACCTCTGTTCCTTACCTTTTGAGGAATTGCCTGGTGCAGAGCGGCTGTTGCTCTGTGTCCGAAACCCGGAACAGCATTCACATAGTGAGAGCGAAGTTATTTAATTCTGTGCACCTATGGCATTTGCCAAATTAAGTCGCATCTGAATTTGATGCTTGTCGGCATACGACTACTGGGTGGTTGCATCTCCGTGGCGTTGATGGCTGCCTTGAAGGTCATTGCAGGTAGATGATAGTACAGCCAACAGGACATGCAGGGTTGAAGGAGTGGCGCTTCAGGATTTGGAAAGCAACCCTCGAGCATTCACCATCGCTTCTACAGCACATTATGACCTTCAAGGGCCAGTCATCCCGTGAACAGAACAGACATGGTGTCTTAACCTTGGGGTGCCCAGAGATGCCAAGACGAATCCAATCTGAACTGCTCTTATTGCTGGACTTCGGAGAAATCGGAGGTGCTGGTGAACAAAGACTCTGTGAAGTTGGCCAGTTAGGGCCGCCTTGCCTGCCTCTCTACGACGCGGCACCGGTAGACTCACAGTGGCAATGGCTCGACATCGGCTACAGCATGACGCAGTAGTTCTGGCGAGAATCTCACCAAAGCAATATCGATTCCGAGCACCTTTGTCGCAAGTGTCCCGTCAGGCTTTCAGTCGATACAAGATATCGACCTGCGTTCGCTCCCTTTCCCGACCATCTCTCTCCGCAGCCTTCCTCTCGACAGATGCTCCGGCCAACCAGACCCCCTCTGCGATCTTTTCTATTGCACGAAGAACCCGGCAGGGATGCCTTTCGCACTGCGGCCCCAGCCGATAGGAATTCCTTGGACCTTAGGGACTCACGCAGAGCTCTGTCGCAAGCACTTCTACAGCTTGATTATTTGCGATCCATGATCCGCTTGGAACCCCTATGCCCTACAACCAAATGACCCCACCATAGTAGTTTCGGGCAGGCATCAGCCCAGGTGACTTGACAACCCAGCCATAATGTTCCCAGATGCTTCTGGCTTAGGTGCCCGCGCTTGCTGACATCGTCTTCAGCTGACACAGACATAGACCGACCAAACCTGTGAACAAGCCGTGCCGTGTTTCACCGCACAAGCCTAGTAGGCAAGACTTTTCTATGCCATGCAGAGACTCTCGACCGAGCGATGAGCGATGTTCTGGAGCTTCTTCTGCCTTTGCGCATCGAAACTCGTCACCAAAGGCTTTGCGGGCTTCGCGCATCTGGTGAACCTGTTGCCCTACGAAGACCCGGGTCAGAGGGTGGCCATCTCGAGCTGGCTGAATGCCAAAGATGCGGCAGCGGCTCAAGGCATCACCGTGTCCCTGCACACCGTGGAAATCGCAGGGGAGACGGGCGTTTCTGAGCTGCGTTCGGCTAACCCACGGTCCTTGACCTGACCCGGATGCCAGAGATTCCATAAGACGCCGTAAGAAGCCAACAACAGTCGCCTGCAGTCATTCTTGCTACAGTTACGACTTCTTGTCTCGTAACAGGACCTTGCAACTTGCAACTTGCGGACGTCCGAGGTTTGGCGGCACCCGTCCTTCCAACGCCTTCCAGACCTCACACGCACGACGCGCCAGGCCAGGCGGGCCTCCGGTGGTGCTGGGAATCCCTGTGCTACACTCCAATTGCAGCTCGCAAACTGATATTGTTACCCAGTATTCCTAGAGTCCTAGAGTGTCTCACACTGCTCATTTTGGACTGGGCGTGCCTACCCTCAACCACAGCTACTCTAGCACCCACTGGTCATGCTTGATCCCATATTTCTCAAATCAGTGCTCAGAGCGTTTGTGGCCTTATGACATGTTTGAAGACAAACCTTGTCTTGTCTGAAAATATTTGTTTGTAGCATTCGGGATACGATCCCAAAACACAACCGCTTTTTCGTGTGCGAGGAATTAGTAAGGTTCTAGATTCTAGATACGATGCACGGCTGCCAACGCTTACTGATAGCTATGTTTTTGGAAGATCGCAAGCTGTTCGGTAGCTACGACCTGAAACACAAACGCGCTGACTAAGCTATGACAATATGCCTGGAACATGGTCCTGGGAGGAGGGATGTGGGGTATAGGGCGGTGGTCGTATGTGGTGTTGTATTTGAGATCGTATTCCGGGTCTGGGATCATACGCAACTTGTACTTGGGTTGCGTGGGTGCCGGAAGTCGCACCTGAAATCGAATTGGGAATCGTACTTGTGTTCCCGTGGACACCGCGGATATGCTGAAAATCGTAATTGCTGGGGGAAATCGTACTTTAGCTTTCTTGCAAAGGTTCAATTTCAGCTACGATTTTCAGTACGGTCTCCGAACCCAGGTCTCCGGCACCCATGCCAACCCACATACGATTCAAAGTACGTCAGAATCGTAGTCGTATTCGAAACTGCAGTCGCACCCAGCATCGTATTCGATACTATTTCAATCCGCACTTCCTGGATTTGCAAGATTTGGCTGCCCGTGCAGATGTCATGATCTCAGCCCTTTCTCGCAAGTGTAGGGCTGGATGTCCAGCCAACCAAAGACCACAGACGTTCACAAGTGCTCTACTGAGAAGCGAAGCCGCTCACAGAAGCCGTCAAAGGTCAAGGCCTTTTGAAGAGGGCCACCGTCAGTCGAGAGCCCATTGAAGACTTTTCAGTCTGAGATGCCCCACGGGCCGATGACCAGGTCATGGCCACCGTCGTTGACGACGCTCCAAACCTGCCGCTCCTGCGGGATGTCTTGGAGAGGGCCCTTTTGCTGCCGGCGGAATTCGTCGTGCTGATTCTTGTGCGCATAATCAGTATCGCTGCCGCTATGCGTCGAAGAGAATCTGAATGCTGTTTCATGCTTCTGTGCGCATCAAAGTACTGAAGCTCAACTGAGCTTGATAAAACTGAGCAAGCACATGCATTACTATTACTGAGCCCTTTCAGGACGACGGCGGACATCGGCCTTGTGCCCAACTTCTACTCTGAAGTCCTCGGGATCCTGCGCCAGGCCCCGGTGAAAGCCCTCAGCCCCTTGGCACAGGCGAAGGGAGCTATCGCCCAGTGGGAGCCGGCTTGAACCTTTCTTCAAATTTCCGGGACCAGGCATCAACCGGGTCGGGATCGGCAACTGGAGCAGCTTGGTCCCCAAGACAACTGCAGAGGCCTGGGTTTTTGTGATGGAGGCTTACAGATGCCCCCGAGCCACGTACTTCTTTGTCGAGCGGCCAAGTTCATCTTGCCAGAAAACTGCACTGACATCTGCTAGAATAGCGGTTTCTCTCAGTGGACATCGCTTGTGTAGGTCTTGGGCAACGTGTCAATCCTTTCGTTTTAAACGATAAACTGTTGGGTTGTAACTCATCATGCCGCTACGGAGCAGGCCGTCAAGCTTGAACCGATACTGGAGCTTTCGAGGCACTTTTCACAGCTGCTGGGCGCAAGTTCGCATTTTCCTCCTTCGTGGGTTTTGAAAATGACCCCGTGGGTCAAGTTCCAGAGATTTCCACATTATGTAGCTGGTTTCAGTGCACATGGTCCCGCACTTCCAGCCTGCAGAGTTTCCTTGGCTGGTGATTTCTTGGTTCCAGTCAAGTGGTGGGCGGTCTTAGGCGTGAGAGCATCAAGACACACCTTCAAACTTTTCGCCGAAACTGCCATACAAGCAGCTGTTGAGAACACGAGTTGAGTTGCGACCTGCTGCCGTGAAGGACGGCTCCCAGCTGTGAGCACGCAGAGAGAGATCAGTCAGTGTGTGTGTGTGTGTTTGTTTCTGGCCGGTTGGGCTTACAAACTTACAAGATAAGCACACGTTTTACTTGTCGAATCAGTTATAGCAATATTGAATTGAAATGAATAGTAAATAGTGACAGAGTTCCAGGAGGCGTTGGTTCAGACCCGCCAGGCTGCATCCTGGCAGCGATTGCTTCGTCTTCGAGCGCGACACCGCGCACAAGCTGAAATCCTCAGTGCACAGCCAAACAAAGCATCAGACTGCAGCCGACCTAACATAGACCCCAACTGACAAGGTCCTCATTATGAGAGGGGCGACTTAGTCACCCAGTCTAGACACCTCCAAACGGCCGCTGCTATCCCGGGTTTTTGTAACTTCGGGCAACAGCAGAAGCGTTAATTAAGGGTCAGCTCGTCATGCATCCCAGACATGGATGTCGGAAGCCGTGGTGCCATTCCGATGGAATATGTGGAGAGACACGTAGTCTTGTTGCACCATCTTCGCAGTGATGTCACGTACCAAAGTACAATCATGAGGGACCGTGCTTTCAATCCTCTCGCGCGGCTAGTCGAACTGAGAGATTCTACAAGCAGGCCCGGACGCTTGCCTTTAGTTCGAAGGTCTCGGTTGGGGTTGGTGTGGAGTGGTGGTTGTGTGTATGGCTGTTCGAACCATGTGGTCTTTGCTGCACATCCAAAGCTTCCCCCGAACCAACTAGCTCTCGCATTCGCCCAAGCATGTCTTGGGCATCGTGCCCAAATCGGACATTACGCAAGAGATGCTGAGATGCTGCTTGGGGTGCGTTGCATTGCGTGGCGTACTTGGCAAAGTCAAAGTATGCGCCCACCTTGAGGCTTATGGACCGAGGAGATCCTTCCTCTGGCCCAAGAGAACGCGAATCACCTAAACGATTGCGAAGACATGCTAAGCCCTGAAATCTCCACTGAGGTGGAGCGGATGATCCCGGCAGTCGGCTACGTCTTCTTTGGCCAAGCACCGTTTGGCCAGCTCATGCTCGAAGCTTTGCAAAAGTCTTCGGAGTTTCCCGTGCGTGTGGGTTCTGCTGCCTCTGCTGCCTATTTGGGAGTCCGAATCTCCCGAAGCATTCTCTAATCGGAGCGAGGAATCCAGCATAAGGTCTAGTCTAGTGACTTGTTGTATGTTCAT